TGGCTACACATGTAACTTTTCTATATTACCTATTTAAGGAGTCCGCCTAAAGGTTCCCCACCAATTGCCGTACCTAATACCCCTGCTTGGGTGTTCTACTTTAAACCCTCTAAACCTGTAACCTGTATTAACATTACTGGTCATCTCTGATGTACCAGATCATTGTCCTCAATCTTAGGACTAATTTATCCTTGAGGTAAACTCCCTAGAGCCTTCTGTACTCATTTTTACAGCTGACCTAGGTATTACTATGGCAGAACCAACACTTGCGATCAGGGCTAACTATTAAACCACTATGCTCTTGTAGAGTTTACTTAAACCCTAGCATCTACTTTATAGCATAACCCCAGTACTTTAGTATACACCTGCCTTTTCCTCTGCCTGTTTACCAAACTTCCAATCCAGATAGCCCATATAGAACTATGACCAGTCCATTGGTATATCAGATCAGCCTGATATCCTTTTCTTCCAGTTCGTTCTGGCGGCCTGATTAGTAGTATCTCTAGAACCTCAACTCAGAGGTTCTTACCGTCTGGCTATTATGACCAGGTACTACAACCTTGGTATCCATTTCCTCAGGCTAGCCTTTACAATAAGGTCGTCAAAGATCCAGCTACCTCTCTACTCGGGTCTTTCTAAATAGACTTCTTGTTACCCAATTTCAACGGATTTACACAGCCACAAGGACTTATCTAGTGTTTGCACTGCCCGATTTGTCAGTTTGCATTCTTCTGTGTAACACCATACTTACACAGATGCCCCATGACCTGCCAGTCATACTGGTATGACTGCCATTACAGATATTCTAACCCAATTGTTAGTAACAGTTGCCATAATATGAATATTACATAGGTGATTATTCAAATTTTCACCGTTGATGGGATTTGAACACCCAACCTACCACTTGGGGGGTTGATAACCTGACCACTTCACTAGGTCGCCACACCTCAATATTTTATTTTATAATAATAATAATAATACATATATATATAATTTGAATATATGTATAAAATTTAAATAAACAAATATATATATGCATATATATATACACATGTATATATATGTTAAAAAGATAATTGTAATTCATTAAATAGGGCCTTTAAATCCTATTTAAATTTTGGATCTGTTGCCAAATAAATGATATCTTCAACTTCTGAAGTTAATATCTCATTCTCATCTTCATATATTTGTGCAATTTCATCAATCTCATTTTTCGATATTTCGATCTATATGTCTAAAAATTTGCCAAACTCTTCCAAAGGAGTTAATTTCAAAGTCTTGTCATCAATTGTTTCATCCAAAGCAAGATCTGCAGATTCATTGGGTTTTGCACATTCTTTACTCAATTCTTTGTAATTTATATTTGGTTGATCATTATTCTCTGTATTGTATTCATCTTAAAAACTAAGTAGAGATAATTCAACAGAGTCTGACTTGTGTGAATGTTCCTATGCGATTAAAGCTTTTAATTTGCTCATATTAAGAGCCTTTTGTGACTAAATAAAAATTTATTTAGAAAAAAAAAAAATTTATAAACTTTACAGCTGTTTTTAAAATATCATGATAGATATATTCTAAATATGTTGAGTAGAATGAGATATATGTTAATCAAGATATTCAAGCTATAATGTATTAAAATTATAATGCAAGATATCTTATTATTGACAAAATATGCCTTCTTGGGATAAAAGAACTAAACTAGATGAAAAGACTGAATAATTCAAATTCTTACAAAAAGTAGTTATATACTATTAAGATTATACAACTCACTCTCATTATAGTAAAGATTCGATATAGTAAAGAATTTTGAATTACAGAATTATTAAACTTCAACTCGATATAGTGAAGTATATAGTATTTTCTTGATATAAGCTATAGTGAAGTTTTTTTTTCATCTCAATAACTTTACTATAATGAGAGTAAGTTGTAGTCAACTCCCTATTCTGAATAGTCTGTTATTATATGCCAAAATTCAGTTACTATGTTGCTAATTCGAACTTTGTAATAAAATTTACAAATGTTCTAAAACTTTTTTACAAAGCTTATTAAGAGTTTGAGATTTTGAAGAGTTGACTGTATTGTTAAAAAACTTATCAAAATCAGCTATTATTATTAACTTTTATATGTCTTAATATTTTAAAAACAGCTATAAAAAATAAATAAAAAATATAAAAAAAATTACAATTAATT